CTACGTCTTTGACATGGCGTTAGGTCATGGGCAAGTTTAATATTACCATAAGGTGTGGATGAACTAATTAACTTATTTGACGACTGAAATTTCCTAGCATCATTAGGACTACTGAATTTAAACAGCACAGGGCAAGTATACTTTCCTGATTTTTTCCTGAGTCTGATTAGGTGGCAATTCGCTGATGGCATGCCACACGCTTGGAGACATGTCACTTTGATTTTGTCCAGAGGCGTCCGATCAGGCAGATTGTAAGCGAGAACGTTGTACGAGGACATGATTCGTTTAGTAACTTCACTGGCTATAAAGTCTAACATACGCTCAGATTTCAGCAGACTTTCCGGATTAGCATCATGAGTTGGGTTACAAAGAAGCAGTAGTGGCTTAATGGTGTTTATATTCTCATTTAATTCCTTCACAGAGTTTCCTAGAGATATAAGGTCCAACTTATTTTGTTCAGCAGTTGCATATACCTCTGACAACAAGTCGGGAACAATGACTTCGGGGACATTGTTGAGGCTACGCGGAACGCACAGTGATGTACGTATCTTCTTAGCTGAGTGACCCAAACTATTCTTACGTATGGAAAGTACTCGTTTATTACGTTGTGCCATTGCTGAAAACTAATCAATATGGTTTAAAGTTAAAGCCGAGCTAAATCGAAAACGGGTATATGGAAAAATAGTATATCGAGTGGATATACAGATTAAGTACTACTATGGATACCGTATGGAATTTTATTGCTTATAAATAAACAATAAATTTACAAAGTACTAAAAAGTAAATAACACAGAGTATATAGAAATATATAGTATTATATAGTATATATCCTGTAAATTGATCCTGGTATGTAAACCACAAAATGATGAACTTCTCTACAGTTTTCTTTTCTGTGACGTTGTTCTAAAGTTACAATAAGGAGGATGAGCCCTGCGAAAGAGTGGATCCAAACTTGATAACTGGCGGTGATATATCTGCAGAATTGGAAGCTAGAGTAGCAGCCAATATAAGTTATAGTTGAGCAGTGGTATAATATCCACTACAATATTCCAGAAATCGACAAAAATATATCCACGTTATGGGGAGAGATTGTAACGTCTGATCAGAATCGCGCGCGTAGATTATGTAGGTGCTGAAACTGGTCTTGTTATCTAAAACTTTGTGACGCGTTCATAAGTGTAGTGAAAGGTCTATGTCAGGATCAGGTTCTGAGTTTGTAGAAGCGATATCGCTAATGCTACGACTGGTTGCCAGCATGCCTTGCTGTTAGCTCCAGCCACGGTAAATGGTAGTGACAGGGCAACTCGACGCTTGAGGCATACCGGTGAGCTCTGTGACTCAGTGCCATGTTTTAGGGGAGGTGTGTCCCTCGTTAGTGCAAGGAGATATGTGCTATTAGTCATCAGGTTAACAGGTGTCTGAGTTCCTGGCTTTTTTATACAGTTGACCATAACCAACTAGCGAAAGAGTTAGTGGTTATAAATATTGAACTGGAGAAACACTTGTGTGAGTCCCAAAATTAAAATACATATATACAAAAATCGCGCTAAAATGTAACGCAAAAGTTGAACTTACCGGAAGAGTTTGACAGTGATAAAATATGTTCCAAACCAAAATGTTCTGCTGAACCATATGTTGTAGACAGCTGTGTCAATGTAGTTGAAGATTGAACGATCAATTCATGGTTGTTTGCTCAAAACCAACTTCCCCAATTTTCCTGGAGGCATCAATACGACAGTCATCGTCTCATCGGTCGCTGTTCAGAACGAAGTTAGGAGACAGCTGTCAGAAACCTTAGTTGTAACATTGTTTATATGTTGGTGTTACAATAAAGAATCCTCGAGTCGCCAATTGGTGTTTTGGTTTTTGCGTCCGTTATTACTAAGCGTTTCTGAGAAACTTCGAAGAACAGCGTGAGCCCGAGTGCAGCAAGAGCTGGGCATTAACGGTTACGAGACGTGGCTAACAAGCTGTTTTACTTGAAGATTGTGTATTTAAAATGGATAGAAGCTAACTGAAAATTATGCAGTGTTTGTAATCATATTCACAATAAAGCACGGAATTGTCAACCGCGATTGGGGGCGTGAGTATGGAGTTGTTAATCACCTCCTTGTACTCCTGGGCAATACTGTCAGATGAAATATATAGAGAGACTTCAGGTCCGCGTGTCACTACAACCTGTTATCAGACCCACATTACATATGAATACCAGTAACCCACTATTTGTTCTTACTTAACACAGTCTTTCTAAATAGTGTAGTTAGTCAGAATGGATCTAACCTTGGATGCACTGCAGCAGCAGGCACGGGATTGGCATAGGAAATTGTAACGAAAGGAAGGAATTTCACCTTTTAAGCATTATTAGGTATTTTTGTACGGGTTAGCACAAACCTCGCTGAAGCGCCAAGTTTACGTCTGGGATAGACCGCTTCGAATCTTCGTTATTCCTCTTCTATTAAGAGTCTGTGCTCATCTTGTCCCTTCTGAACCTGGTAATTTGAGGGTGCAAATGCCACACCTTCTGCCAGTCAATGCCTAGAGTTAATGACATGGTAGGGGACCTAGTCGTCAACAACCATGTAACTTTTCGTTGGCCTTTGAACTTCTCTTTTGTCATCTGATATGCAGACCACGATGATAGGAGATGGAAGAATAAAGTACACATTAGTTTTCATAAATTTGAAACACTGATTAGATGTTCACTCTGCCTGAATTATGATAAAAAGCAGTGTTTAAGTCTACATAGTCATTCATCACACGGTAAACCAGACTTACCAAGGATGTAGTAGTCGTCCTTTGAATTTTCTCCAGCACTTATGAGTCACATTCCAGGCCAGGACCGCTTCATGCAGCTTCCTCCTTCATATCTCATTAGATGTTCGCAGAGGAGCAAAGATTCCAACACGCAGACTAGGTAAAGTTCTACGTTCTATGAACACGAGCGTAGATTCAGGAATAGTACTTATAATGACATATTTCTACTCTGTTCTTTAAAGCAGTGGCCACATTTATGACCCCGTGGACCTGAGGGTTGTTTTCCCTTGTTGATTTGGTGACTGTCTCATCACTCTAATCAAGGCAATCACCCCCAATTATTGACTGACAGCTCACACAAGGTAAATATGTAGTTTGGTGGTGTATTTTGAAAGAAAATTGGTGGGCGACTGGAGCGGAAAAATCTAGTTAAACACCGAGAAGTTCGTTTACCACTGGATGGCATTCACATACAAACAGAGCCTTACATATAATAAAGAAAATATGGTTCCTGCCTGACTACACGACTCGTCTCTAAAAATTCCCAAATCACTAATTACCAATAGGTGACAGTAGCGTTCTGTGTTACCAATACCCTACAGCACCATAAGTATCTCATAAATTTAAAATAGTCCACTATCCTATCGTCAGTTGTTATATCCAACTCTACCAGTTTCATTCCATTTATATTGTGCTGTTGTTGTTTCCTTGTGTTCTCTCTGTCTTGCATGTTTCACACTCAGTTCTCCTACCTTACCTGCGCAGTCTGTTTTGCTTACTCCTTCTCTATTTCCTGCTGATTGTTACGGTCAATCAGTGAACAGCGTATATTTAGGTAAGTGCTACGTCACCACGTGATTAGAAGCTATTTCTGGAAAGGGAGGCCGTACTAAGAAGCTGGAAAATGGTATCAAATACAATTATGGATAAAACGTCATTGAAAGTGCAATTACAAGATATATACAAGAAGAATCTGGAGACTGCTTAGAGTGATAGTATACATTTGCAATTTTTGACGCTAACCATATTGGTCTAAGCATGGAAACTATGGTGTCTTCGATCAAAATATAGCTTTGTCCAAGCATTGGTGTCGTTGTGCTTTTAACCAAGGCATCAAAAATTTAAGGAAGCAACAGATGTGGACACAGAATAAGTTTCAGCTTAGATAGGCCTAGGTAGTTGAGAAAAAAATAGGGTATAAAAGTGTGTAAGTAAGAAGATTATCGTGAGGCAGATAAGTGACATTTCAGTGGGAAGTGACTTAAAAGACCTGGAAGATTATAAGCCATATGACAAGCTGGCCTGTAGGATGTCTCACGAGTTTGTGTAGGACCCACTGGGCAGCATTTTGACAAAAAGCTGAACGAGCTTGTAGATGTTAGGAGCAAAAGCATTTTTTTATAATTTACATCTGTACAACCATTATTTTTTGTTGAGGGTCCAGACTTGCCTAGTGCCACTTCCATTAGGGTATTTTCCTTACTACCTAGAGAATTCCCGAGAGAAATGAAATTTTAGGTTTCCAACAACACCATCTCTCTGATTTAAATCTAAAATTCAATCGAAAATGTGCTGATATACCTCAGCTTATCGCGTCCGACAGATCTATTGTATTAACCACTACATTGTGCTACACAAGTTGAAGTTGAAGTGGCAGTGTCACTGTTTTAACGGTGCTGAGTTTGTAGCCTTAATGAAACACCTCACGCTTATGCATGCTTAACATCATCAAGGCATTAACATGACGGGGATCGAATGTGAGACAGCTGGAGTAGTTGACAATGAGGGCTGCAGCATTCGAGGAAATAAATCCTACTGGAAATCTTCTAGATATCTACAGCCACTTTCAAGCCAAAAAAATAAGCTCCTAGAAATGGAAAATTGTATACAAGCTCGTCGGAATGTTATTGGATATTGGTTAGAGTAAATTAAATGCCAAAAGGTACATTCGGCGCGACTTACTGAACTTGCGGTGCACAGATGACCTTGACATTTAGTCTGCATGATGAGATCCCGGAACCTTCTGCCACAGCAGAAGGATTGAATGAAGAGCTGACGAAGATGAGGAAAATAGTACGCGCGGCAAAGGTATGATGTAAAATGTGTTCCGACAATCAGGTGCACGTGTCTAGAGATTTAATAAGGTATATAAAGAAACTTCAGAAGAAGACTTCTCATCTGAATAGTTGCAAACGACTCGAAAATAAGATAAAGAATAGAATATCAGATGTTAAACTTCTTCATAGTCTTTCAGTTGTTAGACTATGCAAACGTTTACTGGCAGAAGACCCGACTCTCGAATCAGTAAGTTAATCAACTCGTAAATTTGTCCAAACTGGGTACAGTAATCCACTTTGTTGATGTTCCTTTATTTTTATTGTATGATTTTTATTCCAATTTCAGTGATACTGTTGGCGTTTACATGTTCTCAAGCAATGTATGGTAGGTTGATCTCAACTGAGTTTGACTCTCGCATTACCACAGCAATTCTAAATGTTATTTCACTCCTTAGTTTTAAAACGTAATGTGGTTCTAAAAGTTCCGTTATTTTCAATATCCACTCTAGTGGTGCAAGTATATATCTGGGCATTGTGTGATGCCGTTTCGTCATTCAGATTCGGATCCGTATACTAAGGATAGTAGGCCTTTGTTGACTGTTTTATTCCTTGCAACAATCATCTCTAAAGAGATCTAATTTTTCGGAAGCGTTCACTGACGTTGACTTATGTGTGAGAGAATCTGAATTCCACACGTATTTTACTTGTCCTCGGTTTCAGCACCTCTGCGCGGTGACCACGTGAGTGTATCCCAGATCGAAAAAAAGATTGGAAAGATCAAACCCTAAAGCACCCTCTAATATAAGTTATGCCAGAATTAAGTCGCCTCTCCTCCTTTGGTATGACATTTGGAAGGGATTTAAATGCTGCATCCTCTTATAAGGAAGGTGCGAGATTTCACTGAATAATTTGGTTCCTACTCCGTGTACTCTTCCCAAGATGTGTGCCTCCTTCCTGAAGCATGGACTCATGGCTTGTAAGCAGTATTGTAGATTAGGTTTGACATGTTACATGTACTTGGGACACAGACGCGTCTAATCTTTCGGAAGCCTTTCGAAGTGCTAATATCATCCGAAAAGCCTTAGCTGCGGCTGCATTATATTTTGACTGATAGTAATTCTTAAGTCTTTTTGTCCTTTAACATCTGGCAGTTGTGTCCGTCATGGAGCACGACGTGTAAGACCACTGACAGTGCATTGCTTCACTTTTCTCGGAATTAATTCCCAGACTCCAGAGGTTGGTCCACATAGCTAATTTACCTAGGTCGTTTTGTAATACCAACCTATCACCATTATTTGCAGTTTTCCATATCTTGATATCGTCCGCAAATAATAAGGGAGATGAAGTGAGGATTTTCGGTGGTTCATTTGCATGTAATAGGAATATCAGGGGACTTAATACAGTGTCCTGAGGTACTCCACACAACACTGCTTTCCACCCTGGTAGTACATTACTAACCCTCACCCTTTGCTTTTATTTGTCAGGAAGTCTTTAAATCACTCACATGGTCATTTGTCTAATCCGAAACCTTTCAGTTTACTAGGAAGACCTAAATGGGATACTTAACCATTGCGTCTCATTGATTTTGTTGTTTATTGTAATTATCGCTATAAACTCTGCATTGATTAATGTCATATGCATTGCTGCTCCAGCTTACATTCGTTTTGTTTGTTTGGTAAATTCTTATTGTAATGTGTTTTTTCTTGATGGTTTGTGTCTTTGGATTTAAGTTATGAAGTTCCTCAGCAGCTTTAGCACCTTGATTTTCCATCCCTCCTTACTTAGCACTTGATCGAGGCTTAATCTCAATATTACTGGCCACTTGACACGGGAGACACAGACGCAGACACTTATGGGGAAAGGCAGCTAGCCAGACAGGCTTTTCATGTCTTCCACTTTCAATGGCCATGTCTCGCTCACAGCCAGCGATAAAGAAGGACGGGGCGAAGCGCTGCCGTGCTGGTTGACAGCCAGCCTGTTATCACATTTACTAAACCAGAGATGGCGTAAGTTGGGAAATGCCAAACGAGCCTTCTATATCCATGTTGAGATTTGGTCAGCGATCAACCCTCTGGGGTTAGCTGATGCAACTTACCAAATTAATGAAGTAGTCAACATGCTCAGTCGCCACTTCATTCCTACCTATCTGTAAGCCAGCTAAGAGTAGTTGATGTAGTCCAGTCCTGTAGTCTCATCATCTTACATTTGAAAGGCGAGAGTCGCATGCCAAACATTCAAAGATTACTGCTCAAGGTATTCGCAAGGCGAACAACACATCGGGATTTATTCTTGTAAACTTCAGGCTTTAAAACTACTCGTCATGGCTGAAATGCGATTTAACTTAAAGTTTGAGAATTGACTGCGTACAGGTAGGTTCTGAGATGGAAATGTGTGGACGAAAACACTCGTTGACTTGAGTAAAATACTTTTTGCTGTCTATTATAAGCCCGGTTAGTTTTCTGTTCTTAAAGTTGTTGAAAGTGGTTGCGTATCTGGATGACGAAGAGTTCTTTTGAGATTCACATGACTTACTAATTGGATTAACAACGTGCTTATATGCTTAGTTTTTGTACCACTTGATTACCGATGAATAGTGTAATCTACTTTGACAGTCGAAATAGTGTAGCGACACTAGTTGAAGATTCTAAGAAGATAGTCAAACATCATTTATGTGTTGTATGATTGTAGGAAGTGTCATTAAATTTGGTCCTTTCGTCTGAAATTCTTATCAGTTTCAATAACTGCTAAAATTGAAGTCTTATCATGAATACAGAAATCTCAGGTTGCACTCAAAAATTGTACTATAAGAGAGATACGCATATCAGCAGTAAAAGATAATATAGACCAATTCAACTTCTCGTATAATTTGCATGAACAACTTGAAAATCCCCCATTGCGTTATATAAAACAAAAAGTGTTCGGCGAAGAGTTACTACTTTTGTCGACGATATTATTCTCAAGCTGTACAACTCCTTGCATGTATACAGTAAATTATCTTAGCAACAAAAGGAATATATCCAAAGATGTGTCAGTAGAATTGCAAATTTTAGATAACAAATTACGTAATATAGAAAGCGTTAATTGGGTGGAGACTGGAATACAATTAAATAAGTGAACTGGGTGACTTAGTATAACTGATGGAGTTGAGTAGAATTCAATTAAAATTGAACGAGAGTCAAGTTAACAATAGTGATAATAAGGGCTAAAGGCTAAATAGAATGTGGAGAAAGAAAATAATATAGTTGAGAAAAACAGCACAAAATTACGTATTTGGTGTTAGGATAAATCTGTGTGTCTGTCTGTCTGGATTCAACATAGAACTTGGCACCGAAGTGCAGCAGTTCGAGTTGACACGTTGCAAATACCACACAAAGGTAAACAAGAAGATGAGTGGAGGGAATCAATAGAGTTTGACAAGTATAAGAGTGAAACAGAATGGGTATTGGTAGAAAGAAATAGGAAAGATTACAGAGACTGAATACATCAGCGCTGGCCATTGACAACGATTTTGAGCCATGTCACCTATTGTCTCCAGCCATTGATTCCTAGAGTCAGTCCCGAGGGCCCCAACCCGGAAGTCTTCATCTCCCTCCCTACCTGACTCAGTTTAACTGTCAAGGACTTCATGGATTGATGAGGCCATGTTTTTGTTTGGCCACCACTTACTCTTTTCCAACCTGCAACTTTATCAATCAGCTAGTAATGACCGTCGGGGGAGGCGATGGTTAGGCATGCTCAGCACGTCACCTAGCCATCTCAATCTATGTAACTTTATAACCTCGTCGATTGATTTTCCCTCTTTGCCCAACACTACGCCTAACGTCAACACTACTTACCTTATTATACCACCTAACGTGAGAAAGAGATCGTAGACATCTATGATCAAAAACAGTCAACCTTTTCATGTCTTCAACACGTATTGACCATGTTTCAGAGCCATATAGAGAAGGACGGAACGAACTACTGAGCAGTACACACGTCCCTTGGTTGATAGCCGGATGTCACGCCTACGCCAGAGATGGTGTAAGTCAGCGAAAGCAGCTCGAGCTTTTTGGATCCGTGCTGATATTTCGTCGCCAATTAGTCCGTTGGTGCTGATTCAACTTCCCAAATAGGTGAAGTGGTCAACATGTTCTATCACTTCACTCCCTATCACTAAGCTAGGAGTTGACGTAGTCCAGTCCTGTAGCAGCATCCTACATTTTACAGGGTTAGGATAAATCAGGTCCATTGTAGATTTAATGACTTAACAAACTTCTTTTGTATGCAAAATTCAGGTTTTAAAACGTGAATTGAGATCGCTTTTGCGGTTTGAAGACGTATGATTCGTACTCTTTGGGCGAGATTCCCACTTATTCTGTAGATAACTTTGAAGTTCCTTTATGGATTGGCTTGTTGTCCAGATTTCATTAGGTGTAATAGGCTAGAGCTGTAGGCGGGTGGTGGGATCTTGTTTCTCCTTTATAAAATGCATCTTTGGAAATATTCCTTTTGTTTGTGAGAAAATTCACTGTATCCATGCGATTGTATAGTTTGAGAATGATATCGCCGAAAAGAGTAACGCTTCGCTGGAAGCCCTCTCTTTTATATATTTTATTTAATTTTTTTTTGATTACAGCTTGATTCCACACCGTATTTTTGGTACAAGTATGGAAGTTTCAGCGGGGATATTAGTAGCCCAAATTTTGCAGGCTGACCATAGATATCAACTGTGCGTCGGCAGGGGATCGAACCGCGGACCATGTGCGTGGTCGGCGAGAGTCCTAACCACTGTCCCACCGACGCACACATAATTTGCATGACAAGGTTTTTATAAGTAACAATAAAGAAAGCTACAGGTACTGTGCATATTGCTTTGAACCTGAAGTAAGTATTGTCGAGATTCGGCATTCTATTTTGCCAAAGTTAAGCTGAATGTGCACTGAACTACAAACACTAAATCACAAGCTGCAGCTAATTGCGACATTTGCATGGTGAGCCAGCCCCTAGTAAATAGTGTAACTCAGCTAAATGATACAAGGCTTTCTGTATGAGTCGGGCTTGATATTAAGGCTCGACAGACTACATAGTTTTCACAACTAAAAACAGATTACACACTAGTTTGAATCCGAAAATCGTATGAAAGTTTAGTAATTATCAGTTCTGACTAGTCGATTAAAACATAGTACCACTCAATACTGAGTTTGCCACACAAAATAATCATGTTATATCTATTTTACCTCTAGAAAAATGGAAATCGTCCTACTCAGGAGGATCGGTTAATTATGCGTCTTAGATCATCTAGACCCGTAGCAGCTTTTGTTGAATCATTTCGAGGGAATCATAAAGACTGGAGGAGTCTTGTACATTATTTATTTTACAAAAATATATCTGGTAAATGGAAGTCAAGAGAGCAAAAGAGTCGTAATAGAAAAGTTCGTGGATCTTTACCTCTGCCTCCTGCACCTGTTCAGAAACCAGACGAAGCTACATCACAAGAAGAAAGGTAAGTTTATTCAAATGAATATATTTCACTGGTGTGTAAACCTTTACTACTTTTTTCATCAAAGTATGAAAACATTCATTGTTTAGGCACAAATCTGACCTAAAGAAACTGGTTAGCACTCATGAGGTGTGCAACATTGATGGCACTGAAACTGAAACCAGGTCAGAAATTAAATCCCTAGGCGTCATTCTATCTGCTGATGTTTCCTGGTCGTCTCTTGATGATTTCTAAGAAAATATTCCGTCTTACCTTCTACATCAAGAAGTTAAGACATTCTGGTATAACCCAACCCTTACTCCTACGGTTCGTTAACTCCCGTATTCTGCCTATTATTCTCTATTGTTCCCCCTTAGTTTTTTCTGGGCTACCGAAGAAAGACTATACCTTATTACGCAGGATGTTAAAGGTTGTTAGCAGGATAGGCAACGTACCACTTAACCAGCTTGTTAATATTCTGGTTGACAGACACATGGACTCATGTGAAAAATGGGCTAAATCCATTTTATCTAACTCACAATACCCTCTTCATAACTCTCCCCTTGTTTCTCTTTAGGCAAAGCCAGAAGCCTATATAGAAAACTATATGCTCGCACTAGTAAGTACAAAATCTCAACCATAGCCTACTTAGCTCGTGTTCTGTGCGATAAAGAAAGCATTAGGCGTGAAACCTTTAACTTATTAAATGGTCAGTAGAACAACTGGATCTCGTCTTTCTAACTCATATCATTTATAGGTACAATGTTTTTCTTTCTTTTCCTTTTCTCTCTCTTTTTTCTGTTATGTGCAGCTTTGTTTCTTTCTTCTGCTTACGCCAGTAAATATGCTAGCACCTACTTTTCTAACACCTTCAAACACTGTTTAATTTTGGCTTTGCTACCGACATGCTAATATGTCATTGTCATAATGAACTGAGATTACCCTTAATCTATGTAGAATTTTATTTTATTGTTAATTTACTAACTGGATGCAATACTGTAGTAAAATGCTGAGAATTCCATTCTGTATCACAAGTACTGTTTTGGAATAAAGCTATTATTATTATTATTGTGTAATTAAGAACATATGAGTCACCGAATAGATCTCTTTATTACTCATTGATAATAACCTCTGACCTTTTGTTGATCCATACTACATATATAAACAACCCAAAAAAACAGGACAGCCTTGAGGTGAATTTGCTAGAAGAGATCTCTTTGCTGACTCATGTCTTATTAATCCCATATCTCATTTCAGTTCTAGTTGTGTTTGTTTCCCAGTCATAGTTTTTTTTCATATAGAAGACATTAGAATAGAGCGAAGAAATGTTTACTTCTCAGTTATTATTATTATTGCTCCCTTGGGTTCCTAGTGGAACATAGGGCTTCAACTGCACGTCTCCACTTGCTTCTGTCTTCCTTCTGCCGTACTTTTCACCTCCATCCATCTTAGTCCATGCTCTTTCAACTCCTCTTCATACGATCTCCATGTCACCCTTACACTGACGTCCCACTCACCTCTTCCCTTTCGGGTTCCACTCGAGCAGTGGCCTGACGCGCGATGTCACCAACCGGTCTCCTCAGCGAGCGAATGTCCAATCCATCTCAACTTTCTCCTGCATATTTGTTGGTTGGCGATTGGTTCTTGTTTTGTTTGTTCCTTCCCATAGTTTCTTGTTGGTGATTCTTTCTGGCCTGGCCATCTGATCCTCAGTATAGAGGGAAGACAGTTGTCGGTTGATAAAGGTCTGCAACAGGCTTTTGGAAATATTCTTTGTGTTCCACTCGCCAAGTTTCTAATCCGTATAGAAGAACTGACTGACTTGACGTTGTTTGTATTGAAAATCCGACTGAATTTTGTTGTTGATGATGGCTGAGTTACGAAGATTTCCAGATTGGTTGTTTCAGGTTGATGAATGTGTTTCTCGCCTGCCTTCCCGATTCTCGCTCGATTTGACATCCTCGTCCGTTCCGATTGCCTGAAGTTGAGACAATGCTCCCTAGATAAGTGAATGAATGAAGTAACCTCTTTCAAATCCCTCCCGTTGATGGTGATTGGCGCTGGATGTTGCTGCTGTTGTTGTTGTTGGTTGGTTGGTTGGCTGGTTATTTTCATAACCTCCGTCTTGTCTATGTTCACCTGGACTCCTGTCTTCGCTGGCTGCTTCTTCGACCAGTTTGTCAGTTTTGGCTTGTAAGCCTTCGATTTTGTGTGACATCAAACATAAATCATCCACGCGCGAAATCCAGGTCTTCTAGGTTCTTCACGTCGGTCCAGGATATCCCTGTCTTCTCGTTTCCCACTGTCTGACGCATAATCCAGTCCACCACAATTAGGAATATCACTGGTGATAGATAATAAGCACCCTTGTCTGACTCCTGTGTTTACTCCAAACGCCTCGCTGAGTTTTCTGTTGTGGATCACTTGACATGTTCCGTTGTCGTACAGCTGTTGAATAAGGTTGATGAATATTTGGGGTACGCCGTAGTACTTGAGTAGTTTCCAAATTACTTCGCGGTCAACGCTGTCTGTCGAAGGCCTTCTCAAAGTCTACTTTTCAATGAAATCCACATATCTGACTCTTTTCTAATATCATACAGCACTTTTCATACAGTAGAAAAAATTCTATCAATCTACTGCGCATAACTCTGTGAACAATAGTTAGGCAATCCCAACATCTCAGGGCGTGATGAGTGACTAATACAAACAATTAAAAGATACAAATGACTATCACCATTGCATTGCATAACCTTGGAAATAAGAAATAATGTCACCAAAAAGTGGTTTTCAAATCAATTACCTAAATAATGAAATACAGATGAAGTGGTGAGGAAAATAAAATAACTTCCATAAAGATAACTTGGGCTTAAGGCGAGTGCGAAATTGTCAGTTTCCCACATTCATGTAACGACGACGGTCACGATAACGAAAGTGGTTGCTGCCTAAATTACTTCTGAACACACAGTTGTCTCTTTCTCAGGTGGATTCCGATGGCTTCAGCTGTATGTATAAAATGAACTCGTAGAGCAAACTTAATATCTGTCGAAATGTGACAAATAACTTTAGATGCTATATAAACGTCAACTTTATCCTTACTGTCTACAACGTGTGCTAAAATAGCTATGAATAGAGCTTGTCACACTACTTACTCTCCAGTGATTTAGTGTGATGTTCAGAAATACGATAATGAACCCGTGTAATTGCACACCCAATGCAGCTGGCTCCACAGCTACAGTCAAACTGGTGAATACATATAGGGGCTGCGAAATCAGGTAGTTCCTCCTTATTTCTCCAATGTTAAGTCGGAGTGTTTGTGAAAAAACAGTGTACCTCTGCTGCTGTTGCGTTGAATGCTCCTTTAACTGCATTCGTCAGATGCTGTATTACTATCTCGCTGATGCTATCATCAATAGACTTTTGAACAACACATATCAAGGCAGAATATGAGATAACACGTTATGTTTGTGATTGTTTTTTCTGGAATAAGAAATAAACATTCAACGTACATCTTATAATAAGTTCCTTCATGACGGATGTAATCTCATATCACATGTAAAATCCACTGTCTCAAGATCAATTGTACATTAGTGAAGAACAAGGAAGATACATCAAAATATATCATAAACTTGTCACTCACATTTGCATCTCTTTTAGGCTTTTTCAACCAATTCAAAACTATCTTTTACACTGTGGTTTTACCAATTCGTTATCCAGAGGCTTTAGTTGCTTCACCAACCATTTTGCTGTTGCGTGATGTACGAGATATATATATATCGAATACTGTTGAAAATGGCAAACCATTTTAATGCACTTTTGGTTGACTGTCGAATTTTGGCGTGACTGTACCCGTCGGTTTGAGCAATCCATATAGACATTTCGTGGTGATGAATTCTTGTTTAAGTCATTTTCATTACTCAATTAATTGTTTCGCAAACATATTATCTTCCATTGATTCGAATGAAAAGTTTAGGAACAACTAATTGAGTAATTAGAAAGGCTTAAACAAGAATGTATCATCACGAAAGGTTTATATGGTGTAGTTATGTATTTCCAAATAGGTCCATTTCTAGCTGATTTGTTCCTTGGTGCTATGCTAAAGAATGGACCAGTAAAAGGAGTAATCAATGATTTGGGATTCTAATGTCGGTACACGGATCACACATTGTGGTTATGAAGAAAGGGGGATGAAATAGCGAACATCCTCGTTGAGTTCAATAATGCACATTTAGCAATAAACTTTACTAACACAGAAGGAAAGCAATAGAAGTCCCTGACTGCTAGACGTCTTTGTTTCTCACCAGGAAAGAGGACAGTACACTAAGAAGGAGTATGTATAGGAAAAGAGCTAGCGGTGGTTAAACCAAAACATAGCTTCACCAATCAATGAAATCCACAACAGTTAGTTTATACCACTTAGGAAGGTGTAGACCGCTGTCTGGTTGGGGTCCTCGGGACGGTAAAAACCAATGAAGGCTGGAGACAATTGGTGATATGGTTCAAAATCGTTCTCAATGCCTGGCGCAGATGCATCCACTCCTTGTGACTTATAATATCAAATGAAACTATATTCTTCTTCGTTATTACTATTCCTTTTGTCTCATATTCCTGTTTGCTGTCACTCTTTAGCATTTCTTCTACTTTCTTCTCTTGCTTTGTGTGCTACGTGGAGTGTGGCGACTTGAACTGCCGCACATCGGTGCAAAATTTTATGTTGAAAATAGACAGACAATTTTTGGTGGTCTTATATGGTCATATATATATATATATATATATATATATATATATATATATAGAGAGAGAGAGAGAGAGAGAGAGAGAGAGATTAGATTAGAACCAGAGATGCGGGTGTAATTGGAAAGTAAGTATATCTTCACTCAGTCCTTTTTTCTTCGAGAGATGTCCATGAGGAATTTTTCCCATGTTGTTTGCGCATTCATGTATTCATTTTAGTCGGAGAAACGAGAAATATTGAATGATTACTAAATAACATTTTTGTATCCAGAGGTTGATTTTTGGTAGTCCTT